AGTTGCCCAGGTGGGTCTCGAACCCGCGGGCTCAGGCAATCCACTCACCTCAGCCTCCCAAAGGCGCGGGATTACAGTCCTTAACTCCCTGCAGGGGCTGGATTCAGCACACAGACTGTCATTTGCCAGCCCTGGTCTAGACTTAGGGCATTACATTTGTAGCTGGGAAGAGGACTCATCATGGATGTGTCTCTGCCTCCTGAGGCAAAGCTAACAGGGATTGAGGAGCCCTGCCCAGAATAGACAGATACCCCACTGATCTTTGGAAAGTCCTGACCATGGATCATGTAGCAGCTTTTAAGCATTGCCAATTCCTTGTTAATTTCCTTCTTTGTTTCACTTTAGTGCAACTAAAGGGAAAACTCTAAAAGGCTTAACATACTGACAGTCTGAAGGCAGCAAATAAGATGGTTTCTGGCAAGGTGGTGCTTCACTCTGCTGCCCTTGGGCAGAGAGGCTGAAGGTGGCAGCTGTTAGGAAGAGCAGAGCAAGTTGAGCTCCTGGGGCAAGAGGAAGAATGGACACCATGAGTCCAGAGAAAGGGGTGCAGGCAGGACTCCCCACAGCATTGTTCAGGTGTTTCAGGAGCCTGTTGACGGTTACTTCCGCCCTTTGCAGAATTCACCCTTGAGAACCCAGGAATCACCCATTGTCTGAACCTAGCACCTGGAGTCCTGGCTGAGCTCTCCAGACAGAGCCACAGGTGTGCAGGGTTGTTGCCGACTCATACTTCTGTTTCCTGCCCCAGAGACATCAGAACAGTTGATCCCTGAGGAAGAGGCTGAGGAGACAGAGGCCTGGGCCAAGCCCCTGAGCCAATTGTGGCAGAACCGACCTCCAAACTTTGAGGCTGAAAAGGAATTCAATGAAACTATGGCCCAGCAGGCCCCTCACTGTGCTGTCTGTATGATTTTCCAGACTTACCATCAGGTAAGCCCAGTCTACCCATTCTGTTTACCAGGACCAGCAATCGGGACAGCAAGACTTAATTGTGGGTGCATAGTTGTCACTAGTTGTTTTGGGAAAAGCTTTTTTTTTCTTTGTGTTCTCTACTCCTTGTGTGTTGATCTGGCTTCGCCAAGCAGATAACCCAGCAATGTGGGTTTCCACTTGAGAATGCTTTGGAGATGAGCCAAGGGCATCGCTTAGGCTCCCCTTTACACGTGTACCCATTGCAGACTTCAGTGTAACAAAAAATGTTACCATTCTTGTCTGTGATTATTCCTGCCAAGTGGTTTGTAGTCTGGCCAGTGAGTGTGGAAGACTGTAATTTCTTTACTGCAGTCTGAACTTCAGATGAAAAGCCAGATCCTCTGATGTTATCTCCTTTCGTGTTGCCACTGTGGGTGTTTCCAGTAGCAGAGGAACTTGAAGGAGGGGCGGGGAAGCAAGGTTGCTGAGTTAGCTGTGTGCCTCCTACTCTGGCACGTTGATGGCTTCCTTGATGGATTTCTTTGGGTCCAGCTCCAGGAGGCCAGGAAGGCATCCACAGCAGCAGGTGCCAGAGCTGGGTGGCAGGTAGGTAAGTGGTCCTTACCTACTCTGGTGGTTAAAGTGGCATGGCTGCCACTTAGCCTGTCAATGCCCCAGCTTCATGATGGCTGTAAATGGAACCTCAGACAAACACACTTTAGGTTAGTAACTTACTTTGCCTTTCCATTACAAAATGCAGAACCAAAGCATTTGCCTGTGAGGGAGGTGAGTGGCTTGGTTGTCACTATCAGCAGATCTATGTGGGGGTCAGAGTTTCATGATGGCATAGGCTCTAGGGATGACATTTTTCAGGCCCCATCCTTGGAATGGGGATGATGGTGCTGTCCATAAGCAGAGCACCAGTTACTTGCAGTTAATATAATTTGGCAAGGAAAGTATATGAATACACTGTTCCTCTAGGAGGGACCCCGAGCCAAGAATCACAGGTGGGGCTCCAGCCTTGTAACAGTGCTGCAGCTCAGATGGCCTGGTGACATGCACCACCAGAGACAGTCAGTGCTGGCCTGTTAGGAGCATTGCTCTGGGTTCTTTCCCTGGGTGGGACAACCATATGGTGTAGCTCAAGGGGAGCACACAGGAGCAGCCTTGCTGCTAACATCCCAGTGCGTTTTTTTGCCACTTGGTTTTGGGAAGATTGAAATCCCAGTTGCCTCCTACCTTGCTCCCTTTCCTCAGTTGTTCCCTAGGGGCCTTTGTGTGATGCTGCTTTGAGAAATTGAATTGGAATCATTAGAGGTAACTTCAATTAGCAGCTCTGGGATAATGGCTGAGCTCCCGAGCCACAGCCACAGTCATGGCAGTAAGAGAGCCAGCTTTTTGCTGATGGAGCAGGTGGAAAGCTGAGCACATAGGCATGTGCTCACTGAGGTGTGCACTTGTTCTTTTCCCCCAGGTTGAGTTTGGAGGCCTTAGTCAGAACTGTGGAAACACTCCAGATTTAGCTCCCCAGAAGCAGAGGACCAAGCCATTGATTCCAGAAATGTGCTTCACCTCGACTGGCTGCAGCACAGACATCAACCTCTCCACTCCTTACCTTGAGGAAGATGGCACCAGTATTCTAGTTTCCTGCAAGAAGTGCAGTGTCCGGGTCCATGCCAGTGAGTGCATCTGCCTTTCTCTGCATCCTGACCCAGGAGCATGGGCCGCTTGCTGGAAGTCCTTGCCACCTGTTGACCTCTTGGTTCCTCAATGCAAAGGTTGCTTACATGTCCTTGGGGAGTTGGTTGCGTATTGATTTTCATTGTGTCTCCAGGGATCCATACTTGACTTAGTCATTTCTGTGCTGTCCTTGTCATTGCAGATATTAGGAGAGGATTAGACTCCACTCCCCACTAGGTGTTTGTACCAGTGAATCTACAGTTTTTGACTTTTTTTGAGTTGGAGTCTTACTCTGTTGCCCAGGCTGGAGTGCAATGGTTCTGCAACCTTGACCTGCTGGGCTCAGGTGATCCTTCCATCTCAGCCTTCCAGGTAGCTCGAACCACAGGCGTGTGCCACCATACCCAGCTAATTTTTTGATTTATTGTAGAGATGAGGTCTTACCAAGTTGCCTAGGCTGGTCTCGGCCCCCTGGATTGAGGCAATCCACTCGCCTCTGCCTTCCAAAGTGCTGGGATTGTAGGCATGAGCCATCGTGCTCGGCCCAGTTTTTGACTTTTTGAGGCCATACTGTATGGTTTAGCCTTGAGGACAGGGACTCTAGAATTCAGGGGTTTCTCTAAGATTTAGTTGTAGCTTTGGGAGGAAAAGAATTGTAAATCTACCTTCTGACTCTGACCTCTGGGTCTGATTTGCTCATCTTGGTGTTCCTGTTAGGTTGCTATGGGGTCCCCCCTGCAAAGGCTTCTGAAGACTGGATGTGTTCTCGGTGTTCAGCCAATGCCCTGGAGGAGGTGAGTCTTCCCACACTGTTGCTGTCTTCCCTGTGAGACTTGGAGCACTTTCGGAGCCAGACTGTTTCATGTTGGACTTTGTATTCCCAGCAGTCTGCACAGGGCCTTACATGGTGATGATAGAGTGGGTATTATGAAAATAAATCCCATGACAGTGAGAGTGGATGCTACCCACGTGTGGAGTCTGGAAGCTGTGCATGCTCCATTGTGTGAAAACCCAGGAGAGGTCTCCCTGTGGAGCAACCTTTAAAAGAAGTTAGCCACGTGGGGTTGGCACCTCAGAAAGCTAGGCCCCATTTACCTTAGCATAGCACAGCAGTTTAAAGCTTGAACTTAAATATAAGTAGACACGAGTCTGAGTCCAGGTACTACTACTTAGTTGTTTTTGTTTTTTGTTTTGGAGTCTTCACTCCGTCACCCAGGTTGGAGTACAGTGGCACAATCACAGCCACCCCAGCGTCGACCTGCTGGGCTCCGGCGATCCTTCTGCCTCAGCCTTCTGAGTAACCAGAACTACAGGCGTGCATTACCACACCCAGCTTATTTTTTTTTTATTGTAGAGACAAGTTTTTACCAAGTTCCCCAGGTTGGTTTTGAACCTCCGGGCTCAGGCAATCCAGTCGCCTTGGCCTCCCAAAGTGCTGAAACTACAGACCGTGCCACTGAGCCCAGCCTACTTAGTTGTTACAAGACCTTAAGCAAGTTACTTATTTATTCTATTTCACTCTAATAATCCTGCCTTAAAGCTTGCAAAGATTAAATGAAATGATCCATGTAGAACTCTTCGTGCCTGACATGTAAAAAATGTGGCTCACTCTACAACTTTCTCTTCATTGTACCCTAGAACCCTGCAGTACCCCACATAGGATGCAGTCAGAGCCCTGTAGTGCCTCCAGTTTGAGCAGGGTATCCTTTGTGACTTTGCTTTCAGTTGTTACTGACAGTACTAGGGAAGAGGTTTATGTGAAGTCAAGTGAATACTTGATACACTTCAGTCCTGAGTGGCCTCTCCTTCTTGCAGGAAAGTCCTGATTATAGGGCTGTGTAGGTGAAGCCCCACATCCTGGTACGCTTTCTTATGTTGAGGGTAGAGTTGCCCAAAGCAGATCAAGAGGAGAGCAGACTGAATGTTAATGACTTGGTGTTAACCACTCTCCTCCCTCTCTCTTCTTGGCAGGACTGCTGTTTATGCTCATTACGAGGAGGGGCCCTGCAGAGAGCAAATGATGATAGGTAAGTTCCCCGAGCCATGTCTCAGAATGCACAGGCTCAGCTCTGAGGCAGCATGCTGCAGCTTTGTGAGGACAATAGCTGTTCTTCTGAATGAGTGGTGAGAATTTGGGAAGCACATCATGTAGCATTGGAATAGCATTTCCAAAACTAATTTTAAAAATCCAATGTCAAGGGAGCCAAGCAGTCCCAGACCCTTCCAACTCCAGTTCCCCCTGTGCAGCAGGGATATAAGTAATATCCTCCTTCGGAGGAGCTATGATGGACTCAGGAGAGCATGAAGACCTTATGGAGATGATGCAGGGACTTTGTGGGCTGGTCTTGGGGACTTTGCCTTGTTATAGCTGGAGCTGGTGTGCAGAGGTAACCAGGGGCTAGTGAGCACTTTTCTACTTGGCAAGCTCCCTGGCTTAGACCTGTGTTTGGAATGATGTGAGTATGCCCAAGGAGGACAGTAGGATGTGGGGAGGAGCTCAGCCTTTCAACTAAATCTATAGGAGTTTCTGGGCTTCTCAATGGTTGGGCAACTCATTTTCATGGAACTGAATCTTTGTTTAATAGCACTGAGATAGAAACAAGATGAATGAGGTTTCTGCCATGAAAGAACTGACTGATTAGGGGATGGTACACACAGGCCAATGGTGAATATCCTGCTTCCAAGTAAAATCCTGGGGGAGCATGTGGTACACACATTGCCTCGTATGCTTCCTTGTCATGCTGTCCCAGATACATGGCTACTCTGCTTACTGCTTCCCCTTCTTTATAAGCACTTGCTGCCATTACTTCAGGTCGTGTGTTCCTCATAATTGTGGGATAGTGCTGGTAATCTTTCTTATTTTAGAGTGGAAATGTTTCTGCTTGAGCCTCTTACCTTCACCTTTGAATCCTTGTTCTGCCTCCCAGGGCCCACAGAACAATCTGCCCCACTCCACATAACAGTACTACTGACACTGCACACAGCTTACCAATGTTGTCTGTGTGGGTTTTCACCTAGTCTGATTTTTAAAACTTTCGCAATTGCCTGAGCCCAGGGCTTCGAGACCAGCCTGAACAACATGGCAAGACCATATCTCTACAAAAAATCAAAAATTAGCTGAATGTGGTGGCGTGCACTTGTAGTTTCAAATATTTGGAAGGCTGAGGCGGAAGGATTGCTTGAGCCCAGTAAGTTGAGGCTGTAGTGGCCATGATCATGTGACTACACTCTAGCCTGGGCAACAGAATGAGACTCCAACTCAAAAAAAAAAACAACAACAAAACTCTTATTAGTTCTTTGTTTGTGCACGTTGGCTTCCCAAAATGCCTAGAATTTACTTTAATTACCTGAAAATGTCATTGAATGGTACTCTCGGAGTAAGTGGGGCTTGGATCAGACCTTAAAGAGTGAGTCAGTTATGGATAAAGGAAGCAGAAGGGAAAGGTCATTTCAGCCTGGAGGAGAGGTTTGGGCAGAGGCCTGGGGGACAGCTGTGATTACTGGCAGATTGGGACACAGTTGGGGACATTTTCAGGAAGCATCGGGACGTGTGGCAGAGAGGCCTGTAGAGAGTTCTTCAATTTATTCCCACACCCTGAAACCTGTCACACACAATTAGCTGTGGCTCTGCTCATTTTGCAGCAGACTATGAGTGAGTGTTGTAAGAAAGGTGACCCTGTGCTAACCCAGGGCCGTGTGGTGGGGAACTGTTTTCACATACTCAAAGTGGACACACTTGTGGTTCTCACCTTCCTTGGTCCCAGGAACACGGTGATGGAAGTCAGTGGTCATACTGGGAGAGGGAGGAAACTCTGTCAGCAGGCCCACCTTAGAAGAGAAAGCCATAGAGCTTTGGGCCCAGAGGGGACTGAGGTAGTCTTTGCCTTTTGGCAGGTGGGTCCATGTTTCATGTGCTGTGGCAATTCTGGAAGCAAGGTTTGTCAACATTGCAGAAAGAAGTCCAGTGGATGTGAGCAAGATCCCTCTGCCTCGCTTCAAACTGGTAAGGAAGAAGAGACGGCCTTGTAGACACTACAGAATTACCTGACTTACGAGTCTCTGACTGGAGGAAAACAAAATATTTCTGCTTGGCCCAGGGGCCACCTTTACCCCTTGGTTTTGGTCAGAGTTGGTGATTCTTACCCTATGGTTAAATTACATACTGAGGATACCCATAACCAGGCATGAGATTAGAACAGGCTGTATGTGTCCTTTTGTTTTAGGAAGAGGGTTGGCTCTTGCTCGTTTGACTCTGTCTGCATTTGGGAAGGGAACAGTAGAGGAGGCTGTACTGTCATTTCCTGGAATCACTGGTTTTCTTTCCCTGTGCTGCAGAAATGTGTCTTCTGTAAGAAACGGAGGAAAAGAACTGCTGGCTGCTGTGTGCAGTGTTCTCATGGCCGTTGCCCAACTGCCTTCCATGTGAGCTGTGCCCAGGCTGCCGGCGTGATGATGCAGCCAGACGATTGGCCTTTTGTTGTCTTCATTACCTGCTTTCGGCACAAGATTCCTAATTTGGAGGTGAGGGAGGGTACCATTCTAGAATCCTCTTGACGGCTTTCAGGATTGTTTTCTCCACATGTCCTCCATTTACTGTGTCAGGAGATATTTCCTCGAGCGTTATGCTTTACAGAGAGAGTGCTGTGAGTAAGGGATTAAGAGATGACACCTATCTCTTCTCCCTGCCTTGTACTTCATAGTCTAGTGGCACCAAACTGTTTGTGGTCGATTTCCTTGATTATCTGTTTGCGTGTTTGCGTCTTTCCACCATTGAGGGTCTATGTCTTATTAATCTGAGTGTCCTTATGACTTAACCCAGTGTCAGGGACATAGCAGAAGCCCTGTAAATGCTGAGAACTAATAGATAGAGCTCCCAGCAAGTAACCATTCACTGCCATATGGTATAGATTTTTGCAGTTCTCTAAATGAAGTTCAGAGAAAGGTGTAACATTAGGTGGAGGAGTTATGCAAGTGTTTAGGTAGAAGGTGGCATTTGAAGTGGGTATTAAACAATAAGAAGGAACTGTGAGCAATGGCCATTCAGGTCTTCAGAAACAAAATGAACAAGCCTCAGAAGAATGAACATGATGCTGCTTGAGAGGCGGACAGCCAGGGGATGAGGGCCCTTGACTGCCACACTTAGGACTCTGACCTCTCTTCCATCAGATAAGGAGAACTTCTGGAATATTAGGGTTTTGAACTATATTTTTTAGCAATCACTGTGGTGGGTGTTTTGCGGAATGGATTCAAGGAATAGGAATTTGAGGCAGGGAAACTAGTTAGCCTAGGAGATGTTGAGGTCTGAAATGGGAACACAGACAGAACTTTGGGGTTGGACCTAACCCTGAGATCTCATGACAGGTAGCATTAGTAGGGTTTGTTGACCCTCATGGGTTGAGGAGATGGAGAGAAGTGGGGAGGAAGAGCAAAGGGTTGAGGGATGTGAACTGAAGATGACTCACATGGAGAGATGGAAAGGATGCTGACATGATGATGTCAGTAACTGCAACCGGGAACTGAGATGAAGCAGGCTGTTTTGTAGGGGAAGGATGAAAAAGAGGAAAAGAAATGTTATCTTTGAGGTCTCTGGAGCATTCTGGTTGAGCAGCCAGCTGGCAGCTAGATTAACTCTGAGGGTAAAGATTTGGATATTATTAGCATTTAACAGGATAGTTAAATCCAGGACCATCCAGAAATTGGACTCTGGAGATTCCCAATATGAGGAACAGATATCAGAGCATGAACCAGTGAAAGCAGCTGAGAAAGTGGAACACCACATTCCAGCCAGCCAGAGAGGGGAATGAGGAGGGTCACATGTTATAGAGAAGGCAGGTCTGTCTTGGTATCATTGAGTAGCCCAAACTGGGGTATTTCCATGGAGCAATCAGGTCAGAAGCTAGACTGTAGTTGGGGAAGGCTCTGCCATCAGTGAGTTACAGTCATTAGACTTCTATTAAGAAGAGACAGTTATACAGATTTGTCAACAGTGTGGTAAATGCAGTAATCAAAGGAAGAACATGATAGAGGACTGGTCCAGAGGGGTGAACTCTTCACTGCCACTTGAGGTCATAGAAAAGTCCTTGTTGGCTGACTGGATTCTTGTTTTCATGAAGATGTACTGAGCATGACAGGTGTTCAGGGGTACGATTAGGACCTGAGGAAGATGAGAATACCCCATGAAAGAAGAAGACTGGAGGAGTATAAGCTTGAAGAGGCAGCATTGAGCTCGAGCTATGGCAGGGAAGTAAGAGTTTCGTCATGGGACAGGAGAGTAATGTCCCGATTATTATTAGTTCTCCACAACCTTAAGTTGGCAGCTGTGGATTGCTGATGCTATGAGGAAATTGGGGGTACTGTTAAGTGAGTGTTTCACTGATTATTCTTCAGGTATTCATTGATGAAGTCACAGTTTTACTGCTAGGACTATACTAGTGAACTAGACACAAAATCCCCTACCCTCCTGTTGCATATAGTGTAGTTGAAAGACAAACAGGAAACAAGGAAACACACAGCGTATCATATGACGAGAAGTGCATGGATAAAAGTAAAGCAGGAAAAGGGGAAGAGAAGGTAGTAAGGAATAGTGTCACTAAGATGACATTGGGATGGGAGTAGTCAATGTGTAAGTAACTGGGGGTGCCATTCCCCAGTTTATGGCATCTCAGAGGAGCAGCAGTTTGAACTCAGAGGTGGCAGCACATGTTGTGCCACTGTTTAAGGAACAGTGAGGCCAGACTCGGTGACTCAGCCTGTAATCCCACACTTTGGGAGGCCGAGGTGAGTGGATTGCCTGAGCCCGCGGGTTCGAGACCTGCCTGGGCAACTTGGCGAGACCTCATCTCTACAATAAAAAAAAAATTAGCCGGGTATGGTAGTGCGTGCCTGTAGTTCCAGCTACTTGGAAGGCTGAAGCGGATGGATCGCTAGAGCCCAGCAGGTCGAGGCTGCGGTGGCCAGGAGTGCCACTGCACTCCAGTCTGGGCAACAGAGTGAGACTCCCACTCAAAAAATAATAAAAAAAAAAATAAGCCAGGCTCCGTGGCTCAGCCTGTAATCCCGCGCCTTGGGAGGCTGAGGTGAGTAGATTGCCTGAGCTCACGGGTTCGAGACCCGCCCAGGCAACTTGGTGAGACCTCATCTCTA